GGGTACCAGTACACAATGCATAGAGGTCGTATAGGTGCCGAGTCATGTAGAGCCATGTACCTCATCTCGATCTGGAACGTGTCTGCCTTGTGATTTGATGCAGCAATTCCCTACAATCGTACTGCCCCTCGTATTCCTGTTCGAGGTTGACCTGCCCACATCCATACTCGCTGGTCTGGACAGTTTAAAGGTCAGCAAGTGTTGGAGTCGGGTCTCGGAGCCGAGATATTCGCGACTATACGCCGTGTCCCCTCCGTTCACCTCTGTCGAGGAACTCTCGTCCCGAGAACTTGTCGGACTGTTTCCGAGGTCAGTATCGATTCCGGACCCATTGGTTCGATCTGAGGTCAAACGATCCACGGATGGCTACTACGGTGTGCCTCGTTGCCAATGGATTGGCTTCCTGCTCAGAAAGTGGGTTGCTCTGGCCAGAAGTCCGAGATTGCTCTGGCAAATTCCGATCTTGACTTACAGACTCTCGGAAAATAATTGCGGGCACGAAAACGACTTCCAATCTCTGACAGCCGTTTACCCGACTGTTAGAGATGTGCCGAGCTGGCTTGCGGAAGGAGAGAGAGCAGTTTGGAATCGTCAGTCTGCAACCAAGAACGAAAAGACTCGTGCGAGGGACTCCGTAATTCCCCAGCTGTTACATTTCTCCAGCGCCCCGCCTTGCGCTACGAGAAAGCATATTTCGGTCAGCAATCAAGCACAACAAGGGAACGGAGCAGGAGCCCCGAGGTTGCAATGAAAATGCCTGGAGCCCCGTGTAGCGAGTACCGTTACTTGGCCGCGAGAAGTGCGAAGTTCGTGAAGCCAGAACTAGCCTAGACTGCCAATCTCTCCAGAGTCACGCGTCCATGCAAGAGACGGAGTGGCGGAGTACTGGAGGACTTCGTACTGGGCGAGTCTCTCTTCACCGTCCTTTCGCTGAAGAGTACCTCTGGGTACCAGGATTCGAGGGATATTATTTCGGCGCTTGCGCGATGCAGGGCCGAAGTGGATCGTCAGGCACAACCCCGGCGAGGCGAAGCGTTCCAGAACATGGCCGGCCCTCGACGACCGGAGCAGCTGACTGGCTCAGGGCAGGGAAAAGCAGGACGGTCGTGGCCACCGGGGGGCAGTCCAGCTCAGATTTGCACCGAATTCTTGGTCACGCGCAATGTCGCTGGGCTTGCTGGCTTCATCTCGGCTCATCCGCGCACATTTAGGCTCGTGGGTTAATATGCTGCTTGCCTGCGTGGCCCAATCGACGGTCGGCACTTTTATTACAATCCAGCCAGTTCGCCGGGTCAAAGGTGAACCTGCTGACCAGAAAAGAGGCGGGCCGACCAGGAATCGAAGGGGACTGACACTGCTGCTCTCCATGTCATGTCGGGTCCGTCTCTGGCCATTCCGGTGTGTCTGGGGAAGCACCGCTTCATATTATGTATATACCACAATCCCCGGGCCGTGTGACTGAGCGCCGCCTTCCCTTTCTCTCTTCCTCTCTTTTCTGGCCTCCTCTGCCATTACCGCGCCCTCCGTCGAGGGTGGTTTGTTGCCACCCTGATCGACGCCACCACCCTTCAGCCTTACCCTCTGACCTGTCAAGACCCCCGGCAACAGCAAATCAGGCACATTGATCAACAAGCTGCCAAATGGCACAAGACAAATGGCCCATTCTAGGACATCTGGTCACCAGCAAACAGGGTCCAAGAGGCAGCAGGGATGCTTCGGACCGCCGGCTGGCCACGTCGGCAGTGCTGATCAAACCAGCCTAGCAATGCCAGAGCTGGCACCTGCCCCTGCCTATCATCCTCCCCTTCAGGCACCCTTGGGCACTTGCACACCTCCGCGACCACTCACCAGCGAGCTTGGGTGTGTTTCTGGCCCCTGAATCGACAGATCCCTGGCTGCCACGATCCCGCGGATTGGACCCTGACAGTCCCGAAACAGCCCTCGGCGAGGGTCCTCGGGCCTCTAGCCAGGCACCACGCAGCAACACAACCTGTTTTGGAACGCCAGACTCTGACATCCGACATTCCTGGGCTCAGGCTCCCTTGCACACACCTACGTGCCACCGTGCAGCTCTCATCACGCTCACTTTCGGTACGGACGGCGAGAGTACTTTACATCATGGGCAGACACGCCAGTTCTCACCACCCCCCTTGGAGTGGATGACCCTTTCCCTCTTCCTCACCCTCTCTCCGTCTTATATGAGGTAGCCTACAGGCCCCTCCCGTCGTGCGATCAACTCTGCACTTATGGATTGTTGGTACACAGACTGTGCTGAGGGAGATTCACCTCTACTCATTTTGGAAGCCCCCAACGAACGTGGTCACCCGTTTCCCGTTGCGCTCACCAGCCAGCTGGCAGTCAGCTACCTTGTTACTGGTACTCCGACGGCCTGCATCCAGGACATTGCGAGCAGGGTCCTTCCAGCAATACTCGAACCGAGAGTGCACAGTGCACAGCACGCAAACACTTGCAGCGGCATGTATCTCGTCAACGGCGGGTCGCCATCGTCGCCTCACGCAAGGCTCGCGCTGCCCCAAACATGAGGCTGAGACCGCGCCGCTCCGTACCGCAGCCTATCTCGATAAGGGCCGGTCGGTATGGGCCCCCCAACACCACACACATCTATCTCCATGCACCGCCAATGCCGATACCCATCCTGTGCATGCACGCTTACCAGCCGGATTGGGCCCGACACTATGATAGAGCCAATGTACGGAGTACGTGTGCATGGACATGCCACGCCATAGTGTTCCTCGCCGCTAAGGACACCGCCGCCGTTCGGCAGCTCCGTCGTTGTTGCTCTGCTTCCAAACGCCGATCGCACACTACCCCTTGGACTGGCGATGGAAGATAGGGACATCCTTTGTCCTTGACTCGATCAAGTTCAAATACGGAGGACACGTTCGCCACTACATCCACAGCTCGTGCCGACGTGCTCGCGCTCCCGGGCCCCTCGGCCAGTACACAGCTACCACATGACATGACCACACGGTACCTCACCCTAGGTATCATACCCTGCTCTGCCGCCTTCTACGCCTACCCAACCAGACGGTCGATGGCCCTCGTCTCCGGTTGATGTTGCTTCCAGTAAGCATCTTCCCCCAGACCGACAACATCATCCTCGGCCTCCCCATCTCCTGCCGCATCCGTGCCGCCTCCTGTCCCCAGACCCTTCTTCACACGCCGCGCAAGCGTTGGTCAAGAGGCTCAACTCGACTCAGCACCACACGCGGGTACAATGACCCACAGATGATCTCGACGTCGTCGAGGGGGCATCGTGGGCATCGCATGCATGACCACTTCCAACATCCATCACTGCACACTGCATCGTGAGTCAAGAGACACAGGGCAGATAGAGAGAGAGAGAGAGAGAGAGACGGGGCAGACAAACACACCCAGTCAGTCAGTCAGCCAGCGCCACGCAACGGACGGGTCTCTTCAACCCGACATGGGTCGCGTTGAGTGCATTCAACAAATCCCTTGCCTACGTGCCCTACCTGGCATGGTCGTCGTCGTCGTCATAAGGCCATGGTTTTCGCATTCGATGGTTGCGCCCCGCTCCACCCATCCATCCATCATCGGTGTTTAGCAACCTCGAAACGCACCAGCTGATCTTACCTTTTGCTGACGGATTGGCTGGGCATCATCCGAGTTTACCTCTCCATTCATCCGCTGTATCGACTTCCTCCCTGCCAGCGACTCTGTCTTCGTTCGCCGGCTCTACCCTCCCTTCCCTTCCATTCGTGGGTGGCTTCGACACTCGAACAATGTCACCCGCCTCGACGTCGCTACGATTCGACTTCACAGTAGTCTACGCCTCGATCGCCCACATGCGAAAGAAAAAAACAGGACCAGAGTCATCAGCGTCGAATCCTTCATTCTGCATGATCCTATGTACTTCGTAATGTCCACATCGGTCAGGGTGGCGAGAAGAGCTATCCATATGGGCGGAGGAGAGAAAGGGTACGAAGCTGCGATGACCTTGGTGCCCGTCCTCGGAAATGCGAAACTCAATCCTACCAGCAACGTATACGACTTCAGGCCTGCGAAAGCTCCCCAGCCCTCTCTGGAAGGCCTCAAATCTCCAAACAAAGATTGTCCAAAGTGTGTACAAGAAAGCCAAGCCGCAACGCCGGAAAATCCCACAAACTTTTGAGCGTTCGCTGTCTCCTTCGCTCGAAGCGGGGTCAGTCAAGAAGCTGGTTTCCGACAGGTTCCAGTCTAAGTGTCGATCGACGATTTGTTGTCAAGTCTTCCGCCGGTCTGGAATGTCAGAAGCGTCTATTAACAGCGGAGGAAAGCCCCTTGAAAACGCCGGAGGAGGAATGAATGTCCTCCGCAATTCGCACAACGCCAACAAAGGTGACAAACAAATTTGTCTGGGCGCTAAAAGAACAGCAGATAATAGAGCAATGATGACCGCCCCGCACTGGAAGATGCGATTTGCTGCCTTCTGGCAGTTCGTAATACTTCCAGTGCAGCGTCGGCCCAGTGGTCGTTCATCCAATGGTCGAGTATGGGAGGCACCAGACGGCAGAACGGCACCAGAGAGGGCGCGACGCTCGCAAGGTCGACTTCGAGAAGGTGGCCCACTGGATGCAATGAGGCAAGTACGTGGACAAAACGACAAGGTCGTTAGCCTTGAATTGCCGTGGGTGTAGGGGTTTCGGACATGAAGGTATGTTGCGCAGCAGAATACGGTGATCCGAAGGATGCTGGTGAACCGGACCGGGATCCAAACAGTCCGCCCAGCAGCGGTGACGAGGACCGAGCGACGTACTCCGCGAACGCCTTCGACGATTGGGAACCCGGTACTGGCGACATGCTCCGAGGAGGTGTGGGAGTTGAAGAGCCGGACGAATTCGTGGACTGAGTGCTGGCCCCAGTGCTCACATCCGATGCCGTCGCCGAATCGGCCACCCCATCCACCATGCTCAAAGCAGTCCTTGTTAAGGGCTCAGATGACTTGGCTGTCCCAAACTGCAACAACAATTAGCACTTCAATGTGTCGTGACTTCCTCGCTCTTGCCCTGGGCACCTACAAAGCAGTATTTGTCCACAAGTTCCTGATATGATTGCGAGGTGAGTGATGGTTTCTCAGAGACCAAAGCCGCGGGCTTGGATGCCAGAAAAGTGGCATTACTGGCGCCGGTTTTGAGACCATTGACGCCGTTTTCATGCTTAGGGGCAGCATCTACAACGCTCTGGGCGACGGGGATGGTCGCAGGAACGTCGTGGGAAGACTGCTTTGCGGTTGCCCTCAGATTCAAGCCAGACCAATCGCCCAGAGCGGCATATGCGTTGTTCTTCGCCGCTGTCAAAGATGAGTTGAAATCGTACCGATGCCCGAATGCTTGAGGGCCGGCTTGCTTACGGCGCTGAGGAGCGTCAGGAATCAGCTCAGCCTTTGACCGCGGGCTTCTCAATTTGAGCTTGGGCTCACCCATGAGAGTGCCGGCGGACTGACCGAAGCTTCCAAAGTTGTCGAACCCTGTTGAGAAGTCATCAAACGATGTGGGCATGGAGACTGGTCTACCAGAGGACGTTGCTGAGGACGGCCGACTCCGAGGTAAGGCATTCAGTGGCCTCTCACCCAGACCGGGCGCCGCCGCAGGCTTCTTGGCCTGGGGCGCCTTGGCCTTCTTGCTAAAGTCCACTTGGTAGTTGTAGCCCCCGTTGTTGTCCCAGAACTCCTGACCGTTGACGTTGTAGCGCACGCAGAAGAACAATGTTTTAGTCTCGAGATTTGCCTGGTCTGCGAGTTTGATGCTGAAGTTGAAGTGGTCAAGGTTGTCATGAGGACCTTTCCGGCGGACATCATTGTTATAGTCGGCGACAATCTCGGATGTGGTCTTCCAGTAATCAAGGGTGAAGCGGACTACAACCGATTTTTGGAAGGCAAGATTCTGGACAGCAATGTTGCCCACAAGGTGTTTATTGTCTGCTGAAAGAAAGACTCGATCGACAAACACAGGCTGTGATCTGCGAGTTTCTGAGTCTCGAGGGAAGTTGGCCAAAGAAATCTCCCACTCGTATGCGGAGGAACGAGGTCGAGAGCTTGCCTCATCCGACCCAAAGGGGAACTCGCCCTCACTCTCATAGTTTTCTACAGGTGAGGAACCTGCACTGACAGCAAGCGGTCGATCGACCTGCAGGAAATGCCGGACATGTTCCAGGTGCGAATCAAAGTGGACGGCCTTGGAGTAGGTTGGCGTTCCAGGCATACTAGAAGGCCGCCGCCGTGATGATGGCCGTAGAGCAGGCCGGACCAGCTCGCCTGACTTCTTTCGCAGCATTGGGGGTCGCTAACCAGGGCCGTTATCAGTATCACTGTCATCGGATTCGGACGGCATAACGACTGAAGGTGTCTGTTTTTGGGGAGGTTCGAAGACTATGCTAGAGTCGGTGGATGATCTGGAGTGAGAGATCTTCCGGGCTTCTTGCGACAGAGGAGGTCGTTGCAGTTGTGGGCCAGCGGAGTGAGTCCCGTCCAGGCGAGAGACTGGAACGTCCAGCTTGGTAGAGGGGAGATCCCCTCCACGGGTGGGGGAGCCGGTGGACTTTCTCAAGTCTATTGACCGAATTGCAGCATGTAACGCTTCGAGGTTTTCCACCTCCAGATCCCTCGTCCGTCCTCTTTCAGGCTCATCCTCGTCACTGGAATTGTGAGACGATTCGGGGGGCGATATCGTCATCTGGGCGGGCATCGCGGAGTTGGTTACAGGCGGAGGTGACTGTCGGATGCTGCCATGGGGATCAAAAGCGCCATTCTCTTCATATGCCTCCCCATTATGGAGGACTTCGCCGTTCTGCGCGTCATTTAATGAGGGGCTCCGTCGGTGCTTTGAGATGTAGGAGGAGGAACCCTGCGAACGCGGCAGGTCTGGACGGCCAGAAGACGCCGGAAGCTCCGGAGAGAGTAGTTGCTGCCCTTTGATGTAGGAGTGAGACCGGCTCGGTGTGGGACTGGGGTTCTTCGAGCTTGCAGGAGAAAGCTGGGCTGGAGGAGTGTAAGGCATTCGGCCGGATTACACAGTTGAAAGACTCCGAACAGGAGCTGCGGTATTTATTTCGCGACGAGGCTCATCAAGAGTAGCTCGAGGAGGGTCAAGGAATTATAGAATGCAGTCGATCTGGTGGACAATGGACGTCAGTAAGGTATCAAAGCATTGTGAATCATTAAAGATAATGTGTGCTGGTAGGGTGGTAGGTCGATTGTAGGAGGAGAGACAATGTGTGGGATGACAAAGGTGGTGGGTGATGGAAAAGTTGGTCGAGGTTTGACGAGCGCAGCCACACGCTTGTCAATGGTCGATGACCGTGCCAACTTTAACTCTGCACGCCCATCGGACTCGTCTGGACGTGGCTGCTGCGGCAAGTTACAGTTTTGAGGTTCAGAGGCACTTACCGTAATAAATGTAAAATTGCGAGGCAAGAACCAAGAAAGCACAGACTATTCAGCCTCCGATGAACTCTCACTGATGGAGAAGGCAGATGGCGAGAAACCAAGATCACCACGGGACCAGAGATCAACCGTACAGTGACAACTTGTATTTCTCCTGCGAGACAGAGAGTGCAGGTACCGGAAGGGAGAGTCAAAGTCAGATGGCGTGACAATGTCCTCTTGTTAACCCCCCGTTTCTTTGTTGGCGTGAAATGATCCCACGCTGTTCCGGGCTGCTTGCTAATCGGTCACCGACGATGTAATAGGCCAGGACTGCGACCGTGGGCGTGCCCTTCGTTCCTTCTCGAGATTCCCACCGCCTTCTCAAATGGTCGTGAAGAAAATAGGCTGGCAATGGCCTAGAGGATATAGGACAAGGGAGGGTGTGGTGAATGGTAGAGAGGGAGGAGAATATTTTCGATGTGGTGAGAGGTGTGTGAAGAGAAAAAGCAGGCGATCCCGGCCAAAAGGTGTTGAGTCTCGAGCGGCCCAAAGCAGGAAGCTCGGATCTGCGCTGTGCTGGGCAGCGGGCGATTGGGGTTGATGGGCGGTAGATTAGGATCGGATGGGCAAACTGGGCGACTGAGGTGAGCGCAAGGGCGATGCTGCTGGAACCTGGAAGCTGGGTGGGTTGGGTGGGCTGCCGGACCTAGTTCTGTAGGTGTGGGTATGCTGGCGACGCGGCTCGAGGGCTCTTGGGCGAGAGGCGAACAGAGGTGACCAGGGTGCCGGGGATGAGATGCAGTAGTCTGCAGTTATGCTTCCAGGCTAAGAGTGGGCGGTGGAGTGAGGTCTTGGTGGTGGCGCAACTCTCAAGCCCTGCAAGCCCCAACGTTTGCAGTGCAGGACACGCTCGGGTCTGTCTCGACTTTTCCAACCACGGCCGCAGCTAAGGAAACGGCCTGAGACGCTAGTAGCGCGCGCTGGGTCGTCCTGGACATGGGTATCTTGAGGTGCCCTTGGACAGGAATCACTGGCGCAGGCTGCCTGCAACCGCAGATGCAGTGTGTTTGATGCGGTGGCTCGGTGAAAGAGAACAACACAGGTCCGGGGAGCGGGGAAGAAGCTCAGCAGGGTACGAGTACGGATCCCGTACGACAGTGATGGAGAGATATGTCGATACGTTATCCGATAAGTGGTGTGAGCACAGCAGGAATACAAAGAATGGACCAGCGGCGGCAGGGCTTATGTGTCGTCTACCTACTCCTCAGCTATCGTCTCTCAGTTGCAAACAACTACATCCAGTAGGTGTATCATGCACAATGTATGGGTGGCGGGAAGTCACGGCAAAAATCTGTTCGATTTCTAGTTATCTGCACGGATATGGATGGAGAGCACCACGCAGGCAAGGGCGCAGAAGACCGCCTCAAGCCTGTGCGCTATGGGATGGCATCATTGAGATGCTGTTCTCAGCGTTGGTGGCACCGAAGCTCTGAACTTGCCCGTATATCCATGGTTGTCCCATAAGAAACTCGTGTCTCGAGCCACTGGAAACTTGATCGAACGCAAGCAGTTCCCTTTCGCACAGTACTGTGGACGTGGGCATCGAGTGAAAACCCCCGGACGCGGAAGCCGCTTGCGGGACCCGGTGGGAAGGACGAGCCACAAAATGGTCTGAGCGTCGTTCCAGGTTTGCAGGTCTGCATCTTCCGCCAGCAGCATGCTCACCGTGATGGCCGGTCGGAGTTTGTAGGAACACCGCGTTGGCTTGGGACCTTCGATGTTGGATAGGGAAGCAGTGCTCTTGCGGCGATGCTGAGTACTCGTACAGAGCTGAGCCCACGGAAGTACTCGTACATGGTTTGTTACAAGATGAGTCGACAGCTGTGGACTCGAATGATCTGGCAGAAAACCCAGCGCTCATTGGCCTATATTTAGCGTTCGGCTAGATCTTCCGTCCAATAAAGTCATGGAAAACTCAATCGTGCCGCCGTGGGTTTTTCTGCGTCCCATCCGGCTCCTTGGCCCAGCTTCCCCTCTCTGTGGCACCAACGAGATAACACAGTCAGCAATCCTGAGCCCATCATCACCCATACTCCGTACGAGGCAACATAATACGGAAGTCAGAACGCGTGTGCATGAATAGGACAAGCTGCAGGATTGGCGGTTGCTATTGATCCCCAGACTCATTCCTGCGGTGACTCTCCTGGCTGTGGCCGATGTCCCGAGATCTAGGGATTCCTTTTTAATTTTGACAACTGGGAAGTCGCGACGTGGGAATGTGCACTTAGATCCGGCCCTACACTACTCCGCACTCAGTACTAGCATCATTCGTGGTAGGATGATTCACGCTGCGACACAAGGTTACCGCCCACTGTCCTGCTCGATTTTTGGTTGGCTTATGCCCGCCTTGACACGCTTCAACAAGCAATCTCCTGCATCCAGGCCAACCCACCAGCGTGTCCCCAAACATACTGTGTAGTGTCCCCTCGGTTGAAGGAGCCTCGAACGCGCCTGCTTCCACTCCAACACGAAGAAGAATATTTCGTATTCGTGGAAAAAATAACTCTACGGGCTCCAATAGTGCGTCTGTCAATTAATATCAGGTCCAACGATGGGAAGGTGGTGACTCCATGGCGTCTCAGCATTTCCGTTCCATCGCCGCACACGGTCTATCTACTCGTGCCTGGCAATCATTCGCGTGGCCGCGCAGATCTGCACCCGTCTGGGACTGAATTCGCTGGCATCAGAATCAAGATTCTGGAGTGAAAAGAGGTGTGCCTCAGACGGCTCACACGGCCCACGCGGGCCAGTCGGGCCCTAAGTATGCTGTAGCCTGTACACAGTATAGTCGCCGGCGGGGTCCTATCAGTTCCCGCATCAGGCGTGGCTCGTTATCTCTGAACTCTGAAGGCAGCCCAACACCCAGGGAACAGCTTTCCCCCCGAAGTCAAGAGTCAGCTATCACCTCTAGCCCAGACGGTACATACCGCCCGGCCCATACCTGCAGAGATCTATCTGTGCACCAGCCAAGGCAGCTCGACTGTGTATACCTGCAGAGCGACGGAGGTCATGGCTACCTAGGTCCTAGGTACCCCTCGGAACCCCTCCGGGCGTATGGTAGCCAAAGTTGCAACTTCCGTGTGCGGATGTTGCACAACTTCGCAGGGGAGTTCGGATTAAGGTACCGGACGAGCACTTGTTTCTACGAGTTACTCTGGCTTAATCGCCGGAACTTCATGGCCTTGATTTTAGTCAATCTAAGCTGTGCGGATACGTGCCATCACGACATCATGACTCCTGAATGTTGGCCTCGCGATCTCCTTGGACAGCCGTCACGAGACCAACTTTGCTATGCGGCTTCAACTCGCTGAGGCGTCGACTACGGCAGGCGTCATTCTCGTGGCATATCATTCGACCGACCGAACTCGTGAAGAGAAGAATATCCATGCTGGAAGAAATTGTGCCATTATTACTGGCAGCCTGCGACACCGTCGCCCGAATCCTGTTAGTTTACCCCGCGACTTCAGACCTTTTAGCGAGGCGAAGGACGCGAGAGGCCCCCTTAGCCGGGCGCCCCAACCATCAGCGGCACAGCGCCACAGGCCAGCTGAAGGCGGTGACAAGCGGGTCGTTTTGAGTGGTTGGTCTGGTTTGACCAGTCGCGTTCTGAATCAAGATTTCTGGCGGTGAGGACGAAAGTGCCCTCCAATCAACCCCGACCTCTAGGATTTCCTTCTTTGCGGAGGCTTGTGGCTTGCCCTCTGGGGCAACTTTCCTCATCCATCCGTCGTCCATGGACTGGAGTTGACCAGTCGCCACGAGTCGAAGTACCGGATCTTACGGCAGTCTAATTAAGTGGACATACTCTGTCGGCCTGGTGACCTCAGGTACGTACCCTTCCGTCATCATGAGCATCTCACCTGATTACTGTGTAGATGCACGAGTCCCTCTTCCCTATACCGAGTAACTTCTCACTCTGCGCCCTCTCCTCAATGATGACGTATTGGCGCTTAAGTTCCAAGGATTGCAATCCTGTGAAGTACGGAACATCTACTTGTACGGTCAGAGCGTCTTGCTTACGGGGACCCGAGTTACCTCGTCCGGAGAGAAAGGGATGGATGCTGCGCCATGGATCGACTTGACATCCGTCCTCGGAGAACAGTTCGACACGATACGAATACACCTCGACGTGCACCCCCACACCCAAAAGGCGGTAAAGACCAGAGCCAATCGTTTGGTCGCGTGGAGGGGTTCAACTCGATCTGTGGGAGAACGGTTTCATGCAAGCACCAGAAAGTCGCCACAACCCACCATGCAACACACTTGAGAGACCAAGCCGTGAATAACAACTGTCGTTGAACAATTACCCGTATCAGAGTAAGTTTTGCAATCAGGCTTCAGGGACTTGGGCTACGGTCTGGAGGATTCCTGGCGAACGAACACTGGAGACTGCCTCCGACCCGACTTACAGAATCTCCCCGCTTGTCGCTAAGCCTTGATTCCCGTATCTGCCTTTGAACAAATCAGCTATCAATTCCTACACTGCAAAAGCGAAGAGGTCACACCACAGAATAAAGAACTGGTTCGACCTGATACTGTCGCTAAAGCGTGCGAATAGTGCAGCGGCGCGAATATTGCGTTATTCTGGAAGTGAATTGGAATCTCCTGGTGTGCGAGGGGTGGTTGCATTCTCACCGAGAAATGCACTTGCCCGCGATCGACAAGATACTGTCCGTAGACGGATATACAATCAACCTCAACTCAACATTAGCTCAAGTTTTGTATGCACGCAGACTTCCTCCTGATGACCACCGCTACTCGGGCTCGAAGCACGGTCTTACCAGAATGATAGATGGCAAATGCCCGTGGGCGGATTTCATGTTGCATGATTGAGTGCAGGTGGCCCACAACGAGGTCTATCACCAGCTCTCATGCCTAATATCGATCCAAGGGCCTTGCTACCATTCACGTGCAGTCAGCCATGGCTCAGAGGATAAGCTCCCAGATGAACGATATCGGTTTGCAAGCCTTGCTCTCAGCGAGGCAGAGCTGCCGGCAACGCCTGAGGTTCCCGCTTGCGTCCCAGATAGGCCGGCATTTCATCGTGGATGTTGTTCAAGAGATCATTGCCATGACTTGCATTACATTCTCCGACACGCCATGCATGAACTGCAGTGTACCAACAATCTCGAGAAGCACCGATGACACCTTCTTGTGCACAACTCGGTTCAGTCAGCTGCTGCTGCCCCGCGAACCATACTGGCACCTTCAGGACCAAGAGCCCTTTCTGGGAGTCGCGGAAGCGGACGGTCTAGCTAGAACATCCCCCGCTCTTGACCACGCCGTCATGCACAGAAGTGCGGTTTGTTGCAGCGGGTCTTCCTCTCCTTGATCGAGTTCCCAGCTGCCCTCCTCTGAGGGCGTGATTCAACCATCTCTTTCCCGGTACCTATATTCGGACCTTTGTGCTACAGGGGCTAACGGATCGGCACCGCCAGTTGCAAATCCCTTTCAAAGCGAAAGGTAAGGGGAGTCCCTGCGGCGGGTAAAGCCCCTGGATGCGGATGCTGATGCTTGAGCACTGGCCGCTGTTCGCTGTATCGCCCCTTCCACCAGAGACAAGCGAGGAGTTCCCTCGGCCACTGGACCCTTCTTTGGAAAAATAAACCCTGTCGGAGGGACGACATGAACCACACCTCCATGATTTAGCTGCCGATATATCCACATCGATACTCGCTTATCCCTGACAACTCACTCTCCTACCGGTGTGGAGATAGGGTTCTAGACATTGAGGATGCCGCCAAATATGGTCGCTTACCTGATAGCAATGGCAGACGTGGCAAGGATTTCAGTGTTGCCATTATTAATACAGATAGCGAAGAGCGGCTAAGAGGCTCTGGAGCGGCAACGACGGTGCGAGGGTAGACCAAGCATGCATGATTATTTCCAGTTGACGTTCGTTTCGAAGCATGTGCTTTTCCCACCAGTCACGTGACTGACGAACGCGGCGTGCAACTAATCAAACTCAAATGGCTGGTGGTGGGGTAAACAACACGCGCACGGACTCGCCCGTGAACACAATCTCACACGGGCCTCAGATTCGACTGAGCACTCGATCAAATTTTTCTCATAAGCAGTCCAGTCTTCACACCAGCCATTGCCAGATTCGGACGTCTTCTTTGACTCGAGGGGGCACATCGCAGTGTTTTGTTCGATCGGTTTCTCAACGGGTGCGGTGGCAAATTGCCAGACTGTTCTCTCTGCTTTCTCTCGCAGCTCGCCTACTGTGTCAAGTGGCAAGCAATATCCCCAACAATCGGTGCATCGAGCGTTCTAACCGCCGTCACTCCAGTGTTCCCCAGAAGACGCTCCTCACGCCGCGAAGATCCCGAGACGACCTCCACCCGGGGCGAGGTTCGACCTCTCGCCTCCGTGCTCCAGGGTTCGACCCACGTCTGTCCCAGGAAAAGAGTATGCACTCCGCAGACAGCCTGCAGAACTGAAGTACACAATCTCACAACCGCTCAAACATCTGGAGGAGCATGTGGATACCAGTGTCTCCTTTGCAGCGGCCAGACTCTCTGGTCACTGAAGTGCACGGAGCCAGCGCAATTCGGCGTTCCAATACCTCCACCAGCACAGATGGATAGACCGCCTGGCGCGTCCGTGGCCGGGCTGGCAGCCTGATATCAAGGCTTATGCAAGCCACACTGTCGCCATACACTCCACCGCTGATATTGCTGCCTCACAAGCCGCCACCACTCCTCGCCTCGGCCGCGATATGCCGGCGTGGGAGCCAGAAATGGAACCGCCTGCCCGACACAGTACTCGTACTGATCCGCCAAGGCCGCCACATGGAAGCAATGGCGGCCCTGCGTGTTCTGACGTTGCACATGCCTATCGATTGACTTCTCACGCATGTCGCACGACCATCGAAATACTTGCAGGCGCTAGGCTTCACACTCGAACATGTCACACAAACCCGACGCTCTCGACTCCGTCAGAAATTTGTTGGGACGAGATCCCTCGCTGATCACTGCAGCGATGGCGGGGTGCAGTCGGCCCCACGTTTACTGATTGCACCTCCTCTCTTGTGTGATTTGACTATCTGACAGAATTTTCCATGCACGTTGTGAGTTTGACATGTGAAAATTGCGGTTTTCCTCACCAGCCTCCCTTTGCTCTCTACAACGTCGGCTCGTACTGAGGGCATTCCCAGCATAACGACTCGTCGACGATTTTCCAGCATTTCTCCGAAGCGATCCCCGAATGCCACGGGGGACTCCGCCTGTGCTTCTCTGTCAAGACTGTATACGATGTCCTCCACAGAATCCTGCTCGAGATCGTGGAGATCCCCAGACGTTGCCGCTGCATGGCATGCATGAATGAGACACAAGCAGACCCAGGACACCCCGAGCCCAGAAGCCGTTCCATTGACCAACCAACGACGCAAGCCTTCAACCCCGCGAGAGTCGCAGCCCGTTTCAGGTCGTTGGGAGCATGATCGGCGCGCTCCGCGTGCTTGATGTGCGAACGACTTCACGAATGGCCACTGCATGTTCACTCGAAACCCCTTCGCCATTGACGACATCGACAGGCAATAAAGTGTGTCTCTCTGGATCTGACGCGCCATACGTGCCGCTTAGCGACGGGCACTGGTCTCACCTGGACACAGTTGCTCTGACAGGTTGCTGGTGTGCTCATCCATGACAACCCTGACGAACGATTCTGATGTTCACGACGCCCTGTTGCGGGCCCTTACAAACTCTTGATCATACCTCAACAATGCGCTTGGTGATCTCTCCTGTGGCCGAGATCTCTGTCGTCGAGCACGGACGTTGGGGACTCACACACACATACACATACACACACTCATACACTTGGCCCGTCTAAGCGATGCTCCCCCGCTGGTTCACTCCTGCCTGTCTGCTAATTGCTATGAGCGGCAGCTAATGCTAATGCTAATTCGCACGATCGCGAGCCTCCTGCTCCTCCTCCTCCTATTCAAACCGCCCAGTTCTGCGACTGACTCTTATCCCGTCGCACGACATCCCACGCCCCTCTTCTTTCACTGCCCCGCCAGTTGACTATTCAGATTGACAACAGCATTTCTTCATCGCATCGGGATGGCAAGACTGATAGGCAGGGTCTAGATCGCTATTGTACACGACATTCTCATGAAGCTGTCTCGACGCCCGAATTCCCCGCCCTCGAGTTACACCGCCTACACTGCCTCCGCTGACTGACTGACTGATGGACTGTACGACATGGTCTTTCTGGGCAGTTCCTCGCTGACTTGCGAATTGCCACAAATCAGATCCAACGCACGTCCTCGAACACACATTGGCCTCATCGTTTCAATCCCTCCTCTTTCCTGATACTGGACGGGGATTGAACAGCTTGACACACCATCACACCTCCTCCTTCTCTGCCATGACGCTGGAAGGACAGGAAACATCCCTTGCTCCTCGCGGACGCCTCCGTCAATGGCATGAGAATTCTCCACGAACCACTCTACTCTGAGCGGACACCACCCGCATCAAGGACTTGAGCATTCTTCCACAAAAGGATTCCAGGCCAAACAGTAAAACAACGCAACGTGAGGCACCGTGAGGCACCGTGAGGCAACGAGACTGTCTTCTGTATGCTATCTGCTGTCTACATCCCTCCAAGGCGGTGATCCGGTCCCTCTAGATGTCGATATCGTCGTCGCGCTTGTGCTTGTCCTTGTACGCTTTTTTCGCCTAGTTGCTTGCCTCGTCGTCTGTTTGTTTGCTCACTTGTTCACGAGAGACACCTCATCGCCAGAACATCTCGTCGTAATACTCAACGCTTAACACTAGAGCTTATCTAACGTCCTGACCTGATCCAACGGACGCTGAACTCACACTTTCCTTAACGGATCTGATCTATCTGATCTATCTGATATATCTCGTCCTTCATTCATGTCTATTCAATATCTCCATTATCGTGTCCTTTAGATTCCCACTATAGAGTTGCAGGACTTGACACGATATACAATGATGGAACTCTATGATAGATGCACGATGTTATACAACATGCCACGCTACAGCACGAGATACCATGCACGCACGATAGGGCTACGATATATTAAAATATACTCCGTACTATGCATGACACAGCACAATCAGGGAAGAGAACGTCCTACTGTAATACTCTACTGAATGTTTTGGAGTCCAGTTAACGTCGTCTCCAACGCGATCTCTCACTTTGTAGACCCCCTATGTACCATCGCTACTACCATCGCTAGTATCCATCGTTATCGTTGTCGTTCTTGTCATCGCACGCTCCTATTATCGCCATTGCTATCATCATCACTATCACCATCGCTAATGCTATTGCATCGCTATTGCCATCGTTATTGCATCGTTCTTGCCCTCGCCCCTATCATCGTCCCTACCATCGCCGCCATTTTACTCATCACCATCGCGAGCGCCATCACCCCTGCCATCGTTATCACCCCTGCCGTCATCATCGTGAACTGCACATCTCAAACAGGCGCACGTCTGCACTTTTCTCCTGCAGAACGTCTGTAGAACGGGACGCCGTGCACATGTGTCAAAATTTGTCTGCTTCTGATCCATCCCTTTCATGCCTCAATTCCCCGGTCCTTTCACTGCAATCTTCTTGACCCACACTCTAAACTTCTCCTCCACTCTCTCCATCACTCCAGTCGGCGGCCCGACTTGGTCCCTTTGCAAGCTCTCGGAGCGGTCAAAGAGGCCCCAGTCGCCCAGCGCCTCGAGGGTCTGCTCCATCGACTCGTCCTCCTGGCGTCGATAGCCTTCGTTGGCCACTCCCGGCAGGAAGGCAAAGTACCAGGCGAGGAAGACGTCCTTGGCATCGCGGTTCGCGTAGACCGCGCAGCTGAAGGTCCGGGCCTCGATCTCGTCACGCGAGATTTCGGTGACGACGGCGTCTCTCGTGCTGGGTCTCGCCCTCGCTTCCTCCGCCGAGGGATCGGGCGAGGGACTAGGGCCGAAGAGATCCTCGTATCCTTCGAACTCGGGTTCGAGCCTGGTCTCCTTCTCTTTCTCCTCCTCCTCCTCCTCGGCGGCCTGTTCGGCGACTTCGGCGAGCACCGGAGTGACCGTCTTCTCCCAGTAGACTTTGTAGGTGAAGCGTTCGACGACGGCGTGCCGCCGCTTCGCCTGTCTGAACCGTTTCTCGCCGAGAGGGACAAGCTCTTTCTCGATCCAGACTCTGGCTTCGTGATCCACATCTGTACCCAGCATGAGATGCTGTTCTAGCACCCCGTCTCGGTAGACCGTGTTGCACGACCAATTGCCGGCGTCAAAGACGGTGCCGGCAGGGAGCTGACCTTGAAGACTGACAATGTGCTCGCGAACTCTCTTTTCCGCTCGGTCCTTGTCATAGGTCGCTGTGATGCGGTAGTGGTCGGCGTCTTCATAGTCGGCGAAGCCCCGAAAGGCTCCCCAGACAATGTACTTACAGATGCGTGGGTCGTCGTCTTCGTCATCGTCGCCGCCAGAGGAGCTCGTGGTTTCCCCATCGCTGTCACTGTCCAACGCCACAGCCGTGGCCTTGTCTTCGATGATACTCGGGTCTGCACTCTGCGCCAGCTTCTTCGCTCTGTTGAGTTGCATTTGTCGTAAAAGCTCCGGGTCAAATAATTGACGTGACTTTAATTGCCCTGGCGCTTGGTGAGTCTGTTCTTGTCCTTGTGATACGCGGGCACCAGGTTCTTTCTGGCGGGCATCTTCGAGGCTGTTGATTTCGTTGATGTCCTGTTCAAGACGGGCTCGGCTCACGTCCAGTCCAGCGCCAAAGACAAACTCGGCTCCATCCTCTTCTTCGCTCTCGCTATCTCCTTGCCTGTCTTGCAGGGTACGCTCGATCTCTGCTTGAGTCTCGGCGACCTGACTCTGGATATTGACAATGTCTTGAGTATCGACGGTCTTGAAGAGCTTGAGTTGCGCCCGCAACTTCTCCTCTAGTCTGGCTTGGTGGTCGTGCTGCGCTTGCCTTCTGTTCTCGGTCGCAGTACCGCTTCGTTTCATTGCCTTTGGGGCCCTGGAGGGCTTGAGGCTCTCGCTGGGGAAGGAGTAGACGACATCTGGCTCTTCCTCGTCCGCAAACCGTACTTGCTTTTTGGTAGAGGTCGCTTCCCGGATGTCCCTCTTTCTCGATGATTTGCGGGTGTCTTTTCCCGCTCTGCGAAGGTCTCCCCAGTACTCGATGACCTTCTGGACCTTGGGTAGCTCGTTGTGCACAAAGTCGACGTGCTCCGGGCGGAATATTCGTCTCATCTCCTTGATGATGGCGGTTTCGGTTGGCTCCGGGTCATGTCTTGCGGCCTTCTCGATTCTTCGCTTGATGTTGTCGCGTATGTCTTGGATACGCTTCCTCCTTGCCTTACCTGACTTGTTTTGGTCAATGACGAGAGCAATATACTTCCCGATATCATAGAGCTCGTCCGTTTCGGTTTGCATGGTTCGATCGGTGAGCTCTCGGTTAGCAAAGCAGAGTAGTTGTGCAAATTCCCAGAATACGCTGCCGATAGCATCTAGATCTCGTTTTTTCTCTTTAGCCGTTTCGTGCTGTAAGACCACTTCCTTCTCAGTCTCTGCTAGCTGATCGAAGTTCTTGGGAAGCGTTAAGTCCTTGGTTGCTAGTGTCCTGGAGGACGCTGGTGCGAATGTCGGTCGTTCCGGGTGCAGAGTATTGTCCTCAAGAAGCCCCTTCTTCGCCGCTGGCATCTGAAATGTAGAAACAGGCCGGTTGTTTGACCTATAGGTTACACCAGTGTCCTCAGGGAGGCACTGATTGTCGTTGTTCTTACGATCATCTTGAGCTCTTGTCTTGGCGGCCAGGAGCTCAAAACCGGACAGTGGTCGACTCCGCACTGTGCCTTTGGTTTCCTGAGATAGCCCCTTAGTAACAACCTTGCCCTCTTCATCATCATAGTCCTCGCTGATATTACGAGACTTCGAGATGCGGTCAACCAGGCTCCGAGTGCCGTAACCAGCGCGAGCAGTCTTCTCCTGCCGCTCTCGATCGAGCCGCGGTAGGTTTGAGGCCAAGCTAGGCAGTGGCCTTCCGAAGACAGCGTCACCACCGGCAGAATCGTCATTGAGAGCTGGGCCACTTGCTCTGATTCCAGCGAACCCAGATCCTAAGGCGCTCTGGGTTCTGGCCGCACACAGACGCTGCTCTCGGTCCTCCAAATCCGGGCCTTGTGATAACAGGTAGCTATCCGAGATCGCCCCTGAAGTGAGAGGTTGAGGTCGACTGTCCGGAGCACGTGGCGTGTGCTTGTTACCAGAAAAGTGACGGCTTTGCGTTCGAAATTGCTCAGCAGCCACACGCGACAGAGGATTTGGTCCAGGGAGATTAGTTTCGTGACGAGGGGTTCTGCTAGAATTAGAAGTTAGCTGATGGTCGGATGTAAAGGGACATGCACATACTGCGCAGTGTCTTGTACTTTTGGCTGTACAGGCTTCGAGTCCTCTGTAGCGTGCTCTTGGGCAATGTCGAGGAGATCCTCCATTTGTACATCGCCATCTTTGTCTGAGAACAAATCGTCCGCAGAACTATCCTCGGCGTGGCCATCCGAGAATGTCTTCCCATGTTCGTCGGAGTCCGATCTGCTGCCTGGTAGCTGGAGGAGACCACGTCGCTGTAAAGCTTTTTCGCGCAGCTTTCTGCTACGCTCTGCTCCTGCTTCTTGCTCTTTGAGCATGCACTCACGAGCCTGCTTAAGAAGTAAATCTTCCTGACGCCGTTCAGGAGGAGATGCTTTATCGGCCTGGGTTGATTGTGACGAAGGGCGGTGGTCATGGAATCTCGCCAGCAATTTCATGCGACGATCCTCCTGTTCTTCGGCTGTCTCGCCCTCAGCTGAATTCGCCATGTTGAGTATCTGGGACCAATAGCCTTCATCTTCGTGGTCCGAGTCTTGGTAGAGACATGATCCTGGGTGAGGATCTGGAAGCAACCACTCTTCACCACGGTAGAGCTCAAAGCCATCAGGAAACAAGTTGACAAATCCATACTCTGATTTCTTGTCACCATTAAAAGATTGAGATGTCTCTTTCGATTGGTCTTTCGGATAGTTTCCATTGCTGTTGACGTCCCCGATAGCGATTTCAATTGATCGTGCAGTAGGTATGAGTCGTCGCTTCTGCTTTGGCTTGGACACTGGGAGGGTTTTGGAAGAAGTGGCGGCTTGACCAAGCGGAAGAGCCGAAACGGTCAGAGGGACACCGGAGTTAGACACTGATAGATCTGTTGAAGGCGATGAGTTTGTGATTCCTGGAGTGATGTGAGCACCCTCTAGTGCGGGCCACGTGTCGACATCTGAAGAGCTCGTGTCACTGTCGTATCTCGCCAGAGAGCCAACATCACTCTCGGACTGAGGCGAGTCACCGATCTGACAAGACTCATATATCTCATCAGAGAGATCAATTCTTGCCCATCTGATAATTCGTGCGGCTTGTGATTTCACGGTTTCCCTGCTTTCAACTGGTGGCAGAGGTCTTGTATGAGTTGACCGTTGGGAGGCTGAGCTCTCCCGCACAACGCAAGTCGCTGGGGGCGATGCCTGGTGTGACGGGAGGGAAGCTGCGACCATCGACTCTTGACGAGATGAAGGTAGAGCCGCTAGAGTCGAACCTTGGCCTCGAGCAGCGGAAGATGCTCTGGGCGATCCCTGCACCGACGAGGTTGCGACTTGCTGCAGCGATCGGTAGCGTGCTAAGATCGGTGAGGCCTGGCTTGGAGTATTAGTTAACAAAGTGGAGGGCGAGGATCCCTGCTGTCCGACACGCGGACTTGAAGCTGGCTCGGGCTCTTCAGGATAGAGAGCAAGGCCATTGTCGATCCTGGAGGTGTTGGCGCCCATTGTTGTGAGCAACTGACTGAGATCCGGAGTCGAGGGGGAGCCACCCACCATAGCGCTGAGCAGCTTCTCCCAGTGGATGGAGCAAAGGCAGGTGCGGGTAAGTGCTCAAGGAATGGCTGCCAGTTGTAGCAAGAGGGTGAACATAGGTGCGCAAGAGTCTGAGGGTGAACTGATGGTGACGGGTCGATGGAAATGTCACTCCCAGACCAAATCCTCGAAAAGATATGTTCACTCGGGCTGAATTGATGGGTGTAGAATCCGTGAATGAACAAGTTCTCAGAGCTAATAGCTGTGTCATGCCTCACGCAACAGCCAGGAGTCCAGGGAAAAGCGTGCAATCGCGATCTGTCCCGTCGATCGAAGAACCCTATCAAAGCTCGCAATTGAAAGGCGCAGCAAAAGCCAAACGCTCTAATAAGAGGTAAGAGATGATGGAATGAGGAAACGCGATGCTTGTCCAGCATGAACTCGGGGGTTAATGTAGCTGAACGGATCTGGCGGCTGCCAAGGCTGCTGTGTAAAGCACCAAGAGATGAGAGAAGTGGTTTGCCAAAGAAGGATCTGAAGAGGTGGCCGAGATGAGTGCGATTCATTTCAAGGGTACCTTTATAGGGAGAGAGTAGAGGTCCAACGCGCCGGAGCCCGTCCTTCACTTCGAGTTGGGATGTCACCAAGGTAGATACAGGTTGATCGTCGGTAAAGTTCAGACACCTGTACTTGAGTTCGGTGGACGCGGTGTTTGGGGGGCGGGTGTTGAGAAGCAGGCTGTGGAGCGGCATATTGAAGCTTGAGGCTTGGGATCACGGTCGCCTTCACTGCCGCAGAGCGCGACACATTCGCGGTCCTCAAGGAGGGACGTTGGAGAAGAGATTGTGAATCTGCGGTTTGTGAGCGGGAAGGATGATGCCGCACACCTTTCTGTGAAGCATCATCATTCTTGCAATGATGGATGCATTGATGAAATATCCAAGACCAAACAAAGCATAGGAAGACATCCTGATGTTCTTGTCAACTTGCGAGGTTTTTGGACCACCAGTACATTCCCTGCGTGTGGGAGTTCACAGAACAGGAGAGAGAGAGAGAGAGAGCCGTCGATGGTTGTCACTTCTGACGCCGCTTTCATGATGGTCTGTTCTGTGGGGAGTGCAAGTGTTGCACAGTCTCGCACAAGCCGAAGTTGCCCACATTACTGCTCCTCGGATATCATCAGACACCTGACAACGATGCCGGCTCACCGGACTCAGCAAGCAGCCACTCTCGGCGTCCCAAATGCACAATATGAGGAAGTGTTGTGGGTTAAGAAGCTGTGGCATAGAGGGAGCAAGCAAGCTGGATTCTGCAATGACAACGTCTGTGGTAGTCAAACATGCCAAGAATGAGGCACGTGCGAGGCTGAACAACCATTGGACAAGGCTGGGCACAAGAAATCCTTACAACAGTAATTATGCCATGCACGAAGACTTATTAGTTCACTAGAGACTAATTACATAAGTTGAATGCATTCTCCACACGAGCCAACAGGTAAGCATCCTGCAAGAAGAGCTTTGCTTATCACTGCTTCGTGGTGTGCCCCAGCGTTGGCACGGTCAAGATCCGCTTGCCTGGACATCCATCATGGCTCGTAAACCACATCAGACCCTACACAACGATTGCAGACGAAGAGGTTGGTTGGATCCCTGGCCGTTTTGATCTTGAGCAATCGGTCATAGTTTGATCCCCAGAAGACCTTGCGCCATGCAGGTTCATATCTGCAGACATTGTATCAGTAAAACAGGCAGACTCAAGGTACGCACAACCCGGAAAATAAGGCGGGCGACACTTACGGATTTGCCTCGTTGACGTAGGTACCCCCATCTGAGCCCGCAATCTTGGCCCATCGATTGCTCATCTCAACCAGGTGGAGCTTCTTGCTGTGCTTCTCACTTTCAGACGCATCATCCTCCCAATTGGTACCAAAGCTCATGACAGCCCGACTATCTCGCCACGACGGATGAACCGAAGTATCGTTGCGAGTCGCCGAATTGACCTTGCCGACTGGACACGAGGTTAGAAGGCATCAAGGCGAGAGATCATCGCGGGACAACCCACTAAAGTTGAAGCTAGGATAGTTTTCTGGCCCATACTCCATCATCATATCAACGACCTGGTCCGCTTTGTTCAGTGCCATATCTGTGGTAAGCAACCGGGACGAGTCCATGACGTTCTGTGCAATGTTCGGGTCCTGCAGGAACGCGTCGCAGAAATCAATCCACCGTGGAAAGGTAAAGTTCACCATGAAGAAGCTCGTCCCATCGAGCTGAGCCAGCTCTCGAAACGGAGCGGACCCTCGTAGAAGCTCCTCTTCACTACCGTTGGGGCGCACGAAGATGGCAGAAAACCCGTTAGAGAAGTAGGCATACCCCGTATACCCAGCGTCTGTAATGTTCACCATGGCACCAAGAGATCCTTCGAAGACAGGACGAAGGGACGAATTGGCTGTAGCATTGAGTTGAAGCGCGGCAACCTGGATGTGGCTAGGCTCTGGATGAGTTCGGTAGGTCACCGATGTGATCACCTACCGCATGTCAGTCCTATTTCCGCACAGAGTCTTCCTGGGCACGTACACCCCAGGCGCTTCCGCCGCCACCACGTAAGGCCCAAAAGTAGTCAGGGTCGGTGTGCTGATTGACCGTGATGTGTTTGCCTTGGGCGTTGACCAGAGTCACTTCGAGAACATCTACCAATATGCAGTCAGCGTCCAAGCGTACCATGTCCTGACGGGATGCTGCTGACTGTCAACGCCCAAGCCGTATATATGCGACCAAGCGGAGTGGCCACCACCGGTAAGCCACCCTCCGGCAGCACCCACCGTTCTGGCTTGACCCCCTACGACAATGACATGCCTTTCCGATGCAGCCCGATAGACATCTATTCCCGTTAGCGATGATACAATGAGTAGTTTTGCGCAGCCAAGGTTATCTCACCGAGCCACTGCTCTCCAGCTTGTAATGTGACAGCAGGGACCCCTTTAGTCCCTTCAGGAGCACCTTCTGCAACATAGTTCTCTGTCCACTGTCTTCCTTTTAGGCGATGAGTCCAGATGGAGAAAGCACCTTGGCCACTGGAGCGACCGAGGCTATAGGCCAGTTAACAACCAACTCTGTTGATGTCGTAAGCTGACATACTGATCGTGACCGGTGTTCTTCACAACAAGATACAAATCCTTCTCGCTGGCAAATTTCACAGCAGCCTGAATATCTGCCACGGAAGTCGCCGCCACCGAATAGTGTGGAACTAATTTATGTATCAGCGTCCCGCCGTTGATGCGAGCCTTCTTCTCAACTTACCAAGACCAGGTTGACAGGGTGCCTCTCTGGACGAGTTGATGAAGCACTGCTGATTCCCCAGTTCCCACACAATCGCTGTGTAGGCGCCAGTCTGGTTCGTCCTCCAGAAGCTGTTGTCCCATTCCTCTTTCGCCGTTTCGCATTGCTCGGAGTTGAAGGTTGACTCGTGGCACACCGATGCTGAGGGGAAAGTCTGCACGAGACGGCCAGAGATGCTGTTGTTGAAACTCTGCCAGGTCTGTTCGTCAGGCCAGCAATCATCACCAAACTTACATCTCTTGCGCGATGGCGTCGAAGCGCAACTTAGAGCTGCCAGCAGAAAGAGAACGGGGTATTTGTACATGTTAGTACCTTTGAGCAGTAACCAACGCAGCGATATCGTCCTCTGAGAATGAGGAATAGAAGGAGACTGATCTATATGTAGTTCATTGCATTGATCCGTCTTACCTGTAGATCGCTTCGTGAGACTTCGGATCGAATACGACTAACCGGCAAGTGGATGTGATGCCGAGTCTCTCAGACGACGTCGTAGGCAAAGCTATTTGTGCTCGTAATGCAAAGTTGCCCAGATCTACGCAGTATGTCGGCAGGAACAACGGAGTAGTACCAACCAGTCGAACGTGTTGAAATGATAGGAATTGCCAGCTGCCTGGAGTCAGCCTTGTGACAGCCTCGTTCGCCAAGCAGGCGACGCAAGCTTGGCGATATCATCACAACGCGAATACGAGAAGGCTTGGAACCTCATGCATTGATCCAGACTGTGATGCTGGGGAGTGCGGATGACGTTACTGCGTACGCACCACTGACCCCATTCTGAAACCAAGAGCGCCAGTGTAGAGAATAATGAAGCGAGACAAGGAAGTGATACTCGACACGGAATACGAAAATCCTTCGCCAGACCTTCCCTCGTCATACCTTCCTCGGACCCTCGTAGCCTTGTAGCGTCGTCAGACCTTCCTTACCTTTGACGCGTCTCAATTTGTCGACGCGTTCTCACACTATTAGCAAGAACAGCCCACCGTCCACCCACATCCATCCTCTGCGTTCGGGCCCAGCTATGGCTTCCACCTTCGAGCCTCAGCCTTTAGCGGCGCCGCTCAATGATGATGCTCTTAGCCACCTCAGAGATCTCGTCCCTCAGCCACAACTGCGTACCGCCCTTGAGCGCGACCGCCACGTCCCGACTAAGCGATACCTTCAATCCAGGGATTTGTTGAGGAAAGCTGCCGAGACTTTGGCCGACATTACCGGTGACTTGAACCAAGGGGCCAATAAGTCCAAGACTCGGCATTTGAGATTGAAAGCGCGCCGAGAGAAGGAGAGAGCAGAAGCGCACGCCGAAGACGATGGTGGTGAGGTGGCTGGAGCTGAGGCTGAGGCGGAGGCCCGACATGAGGAATTCCAAAGAAAGGCCGAAGAGTTGACCAAGAAGATGGACATGAGTATTCGGGGTATCATTGACGACCTCAATTGGCTTGCCGAGTATCCTGACATCCTCAAGGCCGTAACTGAGAAGGCCCAAGACTCTGCTGAGGAGCAGCGAAGGAACTTTGAAGGAAGAGACGCAACGTCGTCAAGACGCAAAAGGAGACAGCAACGGATCTCAGAAGACGGAGACGAGGATGGAGAAACGGAGGACGGCGACGAGGAAGAGGAAGAGGAGGAACCTGTCCGTCGCTCTCGTCGAGGGCAAGACCCACACACCCTCGACCCATCGGAGACACCACATGTACAGCTCGCTCTCGCGCTCGAGGAGCAGGGCCGGCGATGGACCTCGCAGAGTCTGACAGACCGATACGCCCGCGACAACTACTACAAAGGTTGGAAAGGCTCTCTCTGGGATGGACAAAATCCGGGTGAAAACCCGCCACCTATGCCCCATGAGACGCTGTGGTTCGCAGTCGAGGAAGGCCGCTCAGCCACAGCTTCCTTCTCATCCACACAGCAAGGCCGTCAGCGTGGAGCACACTCCGGGCCAGGCAACGGTACAGAATCCGGCGAGGAAGAAGAGGACGACCTAGAAATCTCGGCCGAAAACACCCGGATACGGTGTCCTCTCACCCTCCTGCCCTACAAAGAACCCATGACATCGCGAACCTGCAATCACAGCTATGAAAAAACCGCTATACTAGAATTGCTTTCCAACTGCCATACACAACCCAAGAAAGTCAAATGTCCCGACACGGGCTGTAACGCGGATATCAATGGCGAGGAAGACCTCTATGAGAATCAGCTGCTCAAGCGACGAGTTGCGCGAATCTTGGCGAGGCAAATGCAGAGGAATGCTCCCGCCACGAGTGATATTGATGAGGACGACGAGGACGAGGACGAGGACGACGATGAAGTGGTCAAAGGAACACAGCGGAAACCTTTAGGGCTAGGATCAAGTCCTGTGACGCCAGCCAGTGGACGGAGAAAGGCGAGAACTACCGTTAAGAACGAGAATTCCTTGACCTCTCGTGCTGGAGGACGAGAAAGCGTTATACCAGATTCGCAATTCGATGGCAGAGGCGACGTTCCGCAGCACGGGTCGCCGAGGAGGCAGGCCCCTGCGTCGAGATCGCTTCGCGGCACGCAGATTCTGGACCTGGAGGACGATGACTGAAGTTGGCGCCCAGAGGATCACGCTTGCAATGAATTGATGATACGGCACGACGCAGCGGAGGGGAATAAGCTCAGACAGATGATCGGCGAGGCCTCACCGTCAGGGTGGGCCATTGTACGAACGAAATGCCTGAGAGAAACTTTGATATGTATATTGATCATAGACCATGCTCTGGGAGAGCAGGGAGAGAGATCTTGAAGACGTACACTCCAAACATCATTTGACCCTCACTCTCACCCTCACACCTCACCCTCCGATGTCCTGAGATTTCCGAATGCACTGTATGCACGACATTCTCTAGGCAAGCTTCCAATGGATATTCAGTACCCTGTCACAGTGATTCCGTGCTCCATACCAAGATGGCCAAGAAGATCTCCTCCCCTGTCCGCCTTGACACCCACCCCGCTTCCAGCTTCAGCTTCCAGCCACCCTCCCACACAGCTACCGTAAGTCACACAATCAGGATTGATCTTCTGGTGAGCTACAGTAACTTTGTGGCCTGCTCCCTCTGCCCTCACTGTCCTACCTATCCGCGGGACCACCCATTCACTCAGTGACTTATCCGCGCTGACTCGTTTGACGTGGCCAAGAAGACGCATTAAAGACGGAGCGGTCCAACAGTACGGAGGACTCAGTTCTGAAGCGATAGTTATCGAGATTTCTATCCTTCCATTGCCGGTCCTAGGTTATGTCTGTCTGCGATTGAATAGAATCCGCGGCAATAACCCTGAGCGTGGGAGATCCCCAGGTGGTCGAGGGATAGACATCAAGCATAAGACGCGAATGTAGATATTCAACCACGACACAACCACGACACAACCACGACACAACCACGACACAACCACGACACAACCACGACACAACCTCAAAATGAGTCGTCAAGATCCAGCACCGTCAAACACAACCCACGGGAAATCACCCTCCTCCAGCACATCTCCCTTGGTTCATCGCACCGACGGCAACAGCAACAACAGCAACAACAGTCATGAACATCCCTCGCACTCATCCTCGCACCACACCGGCGCAGGCGGCCTCCTGACGATCCACCACGAAGGCGAATCCGGCCGGTCCGGCATGCATCTCCGCCCGTTCGCGTACATCCTATGGCGCTCATCGTCGCAAGTCTCGATGCTGGTCAACGTGCTGTGGCCGTTCGTCCCCGCGGCCATCATTCTGCACTACCTCCCTGGCGACCACACCGCCACGCTGGACAAATGGATCTTCGCGACCGCGTACGTCGGCATGGTGCCCTGCGCCAACCTCCTCGGCTTCGCAGGGCAGGAACTGGCGCGCAAATTACCCAAAGTGGCGGGCATCCTGATCGAGACGGCGCTGGGCAGCATCGTGGAGATTGTGCTGTTCATGATCCTGATCGCGAAGCATCGCGAGGCCGACGACAACGACGACACCTCGGCCGAAGAAGGCAACCTCATCCCCGTGATCCAGGCGGCCATTCTGGGCTCCATCGTGACCAACCTCCTGCTGTGCCTGGGACTGTGCTTCTTCGTCGGCGGCCTGCGGCAGCACACGCAGACCTTCCACGCCGTGGTGTCGGAAGTGGGCTCGGGCCTGCTCCTGGTGGCCGGGTTCGGGCTGGCGATCCCCAGCGCCTTCTACTCGGCGTTGAAGGGTGAGACGGCGACGTCCCACAACTTCACGCGACAAAAGCTCCAGGACGACGTGCTGCAGATGAGCCGCGCCACCAGCGTGATTTTGATGGTCGCGTTCGCCATCTACATCTTCTTCAACGCGCGCAGCCAGCACGGCATCTTCGACGAGATCCTCGAGGCCGACGAGCGGCAGGACGCCGACCACGCGCACGACCTGACCAAGGAGAAGCTGACGTTGACGGAATGCGTCGTGGCCATCGCCGCCTCGCTCACGCTCGTCACCCTGCTGGCCGTGTTCCTGGTCGAGCGCATCGAGGTCATCGTGCGCACGGGCGGCGTGCCGGACCAGTTCCTCGGCCTGATCCTGCTGCCGCTGGTCGAAAAGGCCGCCGAGCACCTGACCGCCGTGGACGAGGCGTGGGACGGCCAGATGAATTTCGCCCTGTACCACTGTCTGGGGCCGAGCATCCAGACCGCGCTGTTCAACGGCCCGCTCGTCGTCGTCGTCGCCTGGATCCTCGACAAGCCCATGGACCTGAACTTTGAGATCTTCATGGTCGCCTTGCTCGTGCTGGCCATTCTGGTCGTCGGCAATTTCCTCCGTGACAAGGAGAGCAATTACCTCGAGGGCGCCTTGTTGGTGGTGAGTTGCTCATCTGTTTCTACCAGCTGTTGAGCTATTGATTGCCTCTCCCTCTCCGTCCGCCGCCCGATTCAAAAACTCGCACTCTTACTAACCCAACTCCGTCCCGCAGATCGTATACATCATCATCGCTATTGCAGCGTGGTACTATCCCGATCCCGACGTCGCGACATCGAACGAGTTCGACGGCATCGGAGCAGGAGCGGGAGCAGTCGTCGCTGCCAGCAACGCGTTTAAAGTACATATCCCGAGTGCGAGTGCATCTCTGTTGCAACTCAGGGTTCAAGGATAAGGCGTGATGTGATAGGCTTAGACACACACACGCACGCACGCACGCACACGACCTTTCCTCGCCCTGGCCCTACCTTTACGAGTACACGCACACGCACACGTCCATCACAATCGCGTCGCAGTTCGCATCCATTTGAAAGGGAGAAGAGATATCTGGGGAGTGGGGAGAACCACGTATGCCATGTATGTCATGCAGTGCAGGAAGGACTTGCGACCGGGATGCAGGTGCATGTAATAGGTTTCCTGAGGTTCGCATGGGATGCATCCTAGATTGTGCATCGGTCGCTCTGGGTCCTCCTCAGGACAAAGGTGACAGCATTGCTACTAGGAACAGCAGGAGGATCTGCCTTGGTTTTACAAATAGCTCGGATTCTGTAAGACACTTGACGTCCGACGCTCGACGCTCGACGCTCGACGTCTAGCTAGCATTGTCGGATGCGGCATTCCGGATCATGGTTGCCGTGGAATCAACGACGGACGACAAGTGTTCATGAGGGTATCAATTTTGTTACCATATTGACTCCAGGCTGGCCATGCAAACGAATGTCCCACACCTCTCGCTTCCCATCACGTCCGTGACCGTGCCGAGCTCTAATCGTCGTCTGAATCGTAGTAGTCATCGTCCGGTAGCAGACTCCGGTATCGGCGGCTAGCGAGATCCTCCTCAAGGCCACCTTCACTCTCCGGATCAATATATCCTGTTGACAGATTAGTGCCTTCCCGCCACGAAGTATCCGGGCCGAAACTCACCATCGCCGCCTGCAAAACTCAGCGCCACAGGCAAAAACACCAAGGCATGGCTACTCGCGAGGATCACCAATGCCAACCAAATCCGGAAGTAATAGATCTCGAAGATCTTACTCCTCGTGAATGCCAGCACAACCACGCCCAAGAATTTGGTGATCGTAATGCCACTGAAGACGCTGCCGCCGACATTGACCAGAGCAGCCCAGGCCCGAATATCCTTGCCCCGGAATTTGTGCCTTGCTCGCTCCATGACTGACTTGCTGGGGAACATAAACGCGCGAGCAATGTGCGCGCAGAACTCGACACCAATGCCCACGCAAATGACTAGATTGACCAGTGACACAGCATTGAGCGACACGCCAGCCACTGCCATGACACCGATGATATCGACCAGAATCATAATGACCGTGAACGCAACCACGGCCCCCGTGAGCAGAGAGCCCAACAGCAGCGAAGAGATGACGAAGATAATGGCGACTGCCACGCATAAAAGGGCAGCAGTCAAGCGAACGATGCTGCTATACTGATCGAAGAAAATGTAATGTTTGCTGTAAGGAAATACGTCAATGTTGTGACGTGCTGAGATGTCGGCTGATATCCGCCTGGCCGCGGCGTACGAGTTGATAAAGTCGTCCTGGCCTTGTAACGGAGTATGAAAAGTACGGAAGTGGCTGGCTGGGATGTCGGTATTGTTGCTGTCGATGACCACAGCATTCGAATATGCCGCTTGCCCACCATTCGGACACTCCTCATCTGTGGGCGCATGGATCCACTTCTGCGCATACTTTATGAACTCGTCTCCTTCTGGCATTCCACCGAGGGTGATGTTCCACTCGTCCTCGCCGAAGCAGGTGTCACCGTTCTCGTCTTGACAGCAGTCCGAGATGGGATTGAGCCAGTAGAAGAAGTCATCAAACCAGTTGGCCGTGGCAGCATTGATATAGCTAACATTGGGCCGCTTCGACTCTTGCTCGAGAACATAGGCCAGTGAATACTCATCGCACGTGGTGAAGGCGCCGCAGACCTGTTGTTGATGCTCTCTGTCCGTCACATTGACGTGCCGAGTGACAAAGTATACTGGGGGCCCGGAGCCGAAGTAGTCATACAAGTCGTTGAAGTACTGGATCATGTACGAATCCTGGGGGATCGCAATGCGTTGGTCGAGTCCAAGCTGCACCATCGGGATCAGTGCAATTCCGGCAGCGAAGAGCGTGACGAAGAAAGTCAGCACGAGCGTCTTGACTTTCTTGTCCAGCAGCTTTGGTGCATACACCTTTCTGATAAAACGCTGCAGCCAGCCCTCCTCGTCGCTGCCAAAGAAGTGGCCACCGGGCATGCCAGTCGAATTGGCTCCTCTGACCGTCACACATGGGAAGCAGTCTGCGCGGAGACTTTCAACTCTTCGTTGATTGAGTGCCAAGACGGAGACGAACATGGTGACTTGTAATACAGCATTGATGAACACGGCACCAGCCGCGTATGCTGCAAAATTCTTGACCGCTGGCATTCCGACGAACGCACCCATCGCGAAGGCAATTGTCTCGGTGGACGCGGACAGGAGAATGCTCGGGCCCATTCGTCCCAGAGACTTCGCAATGCGCACGTCGATTTCTTCATCCGGATGACTGACATTGACACGTTCGAACTCATGCACGATGAGAAAGATATTGTCCACGCCGACGGCCAGGACCAAGAAGGGGATGACTTCGGCAATGATCAAAGTGACCTTGACCCCTGCCGCAGAAAACAGACCGACGGAGCCCGATACAGACATCAACACAATGACGATGCCTGCAACACCGAGGGTGAATTTGGACTGGACGAAGGCATTTGCAGGGTTGCTCAGGAGGGACCTCAATGACAGAGTCGCTGACCCCAAGGCGAGCGAGGCGTAAATGAACATGACCACATAGCTGATGACGACAATCTTGGCATCTGTGTTGGTTGACTTGTTCAATTCCTGCTCGAGACTGATCTCGGTGTTGAACGAAAGTCGGAGGCCACGGGAGCTGGCGGATTCTTGGGCGATCAGCAACTCGTGCTTGAGAGCTCGCTCCCACTCTTCAGCCCTTGCTGTGGCCTCGGTGCCGGGCTGGTCATTGTTAACAACCCACGTCGTGATCAGGGCTTTCGCGTTGGTGACGTTCTCGATACCATCATAGCCACCGAGGACGCGGCCGGGCAGAAGCGGATCCATGAACTCGGGCAAGCAAAGCTGGTCCCCAGGATGAGCTGCGCAATTCCGGATCTGCTCTTTCCAATCCCGGTCAAGGCCTGCGCCGAACCATCCGCTGACAGACTGCACTACGCACGCGGAGCCGGTTGGCTTGAAACAGACATCGTCGAGTTTGATCTCATTCTCAGGCGATATCATGCGCGAAATGCGTTGTTCGACGTCAAACCACCAATCGAGGTTTTCAAAGCTCAAGATCGAACTGTTGGCTGAGGTATCGTTGACCAGAAATGCCTGCTCCGTCCTGTAGAACGGACCGAAATGCTGGTCGAAGAAGGCCTTTTCTTGAGCAGCCTCCGAAGAGGGACTGACCCACAGGTGGACCGGATCTCTTTCGACTTCGAATCTGAGCCAGCCAAGGCTGAGGAGTCCGACGATGACGATGTTCGCCCCAATGGTTAGGCCCGGATATCGTGCACAGAAACTGCCCAGCCTGTTGAAGGCGCGGTCGAAGATGTGGTTCAGGTAGTAGTTCCTCTGCGGCCTATCCAAAACTCCTGCATTGTGGACCAGTTCCCCCTCATCTTCATCGTCACTCGGTGCTGCGTCCTGCAACAGTTGCATCCTCTCACTCTTCCATTGTTTGTGCCTCCGGTATGCCACATGGCCAGAGATGGCGGTGATGAGGAGCAAGAGACAGATGGAGTAGATAATGATGATGGCGAATGACAGACAAGGGAGTTTTCCAACATGGCAGTAGTCGACTGCACTGACAGGCTCCAGAGTCGGACAGACTGCCGGACAATCGACGCAGCTGCATCGGAAGTTGGGATCGGTATCGTTACATGCATAGACCCGCGGGTCTGACGGTTTCATGCCCTCATCATCACGATATCGTGGCTTCTCCGGGAAGTTGATCTGGAAGGGACTGCCGAGTAATTTCTTGTCGCCCAGGAACTTCAGAAACTCTGTGTAGTTCGTCGCACCGCCGCCTATAAAGCCCATCGCCTTGCCACCACTTGCGCCGTTCTTGACCTCTTTGCAGCTGTCATAAAAGCCGCTTTGGTATTCTTTCGACCACACATTGTCCAGCTCTGTAACAACGTCTTTCCCACTCGAGGCTTTACCAGTTTCGGTGACATTGACGAACAGCGACTGATCGGGAGAGCATGTAAATGTGCAGAAGAGATTGAAGAAGTTCTCCTTGCACGCGGGACACGAGGCGATGATCCTTTCTGCCAGTCTGAGATTCTTTTGGAGGGCGTCCACTTGCTCCTCTTCACAGCACACATCCGTGTCTTGCCACCTCGACCCGCACAGGTTCACAAGCTTCTCGCGAACAGCATCTGAGGGGGTTGCGGCCTTGCCGTTGTCCGGACACGGGAGATCTGAGCCAAAGAAGCCCTGCTTTCCGCAATGGCCACGAATTGCGCACCGACCGGCCTCGTGAAGGGCTGTGGGAGGAGCAGAAGAGGCTAGAGGGAGAGAGCCGCTGGCGGCGACAGCTGCAAGGGCGGCGGCCACGAAGCGCATCGTGATATGCGTGAGTTGTTCTTGTCAAATACTCGGAGTGGTGACTTCAATCCGTGCTTGCGTGCGACTGCCGCTTCATGTCATCCTGCCAAAGAAGGCAGCCGGAGGATGGAAATCGGCAGGTTGCCAATGAGGACAGACAACGGTTCAGAAGAGCAGTAATGAGTGAAAAAGATGACGGACTGTTTGTTTGTAGAGCGCAGTCACAGGCACAGCGCAGGTGTGGACTTTGTAGAGTAAGTAGTCACCAGCGTGTGACGATCACGACAGCGGAATGACGAGAGCTGTCGGTGCCTCGGAAACCCCAATTGCCTGAATTGCCTGCATTGACTGGTTCACTCCCACGTCACCACAATCTGGCATCGCCTTAGACGCCTCTCACTTCGCTCTCCGCATGGCCCATCGAGACCCAGCCACCATCATGAACCTTCTGCATGGTGGAACTCCAACAGCAGTTCGCCCCCGGCGGCTTGGCTGGGCTGCCCGAGCCATGTCTTAAGTCCTACTGTAGCAGGCATAGTTTCAGGTACCAGGCACGAACCCGATCAGACCTGCTGCACTCGTCCGGCCAGATCGACATCAACTGACCATAAAACCAAAATACTCCGTAGAACGGTAGGTATTCATTACCTTTTCTCCTATGCTTCAACTCCACCACTGCTCATCTACACCTTACCAACCCGTATGCACGAACCCCCACCTCCAATGCTTCTCTTTTTCGGTTTCTAGCAAGGATAAAATACATATGTTCGAAAGGCAAAGAAGCGCTCACAACCCTGGCAGCTCCATATCCCCTCCCAGGTGTTGGATATCAACCAGCTCCTCAAACTGAATGATTGAAGAACTCCATGTTGACTGTCATCCTGTGACGCCTCTCCTTCCCATAATGCACAAGCCCTTTTCCCCTTTCGCCGTTTGAAAGACCTTGGAATTTGTTTACCTTCAGCCGCCGCGCTGGTGTGCCGACTGCTGCCCCATCAAAAGACGTTCAAGCCCCCTAACTTTCGCCAGCCGCGGCTGTTGGTTTCGATTCGCTCGACTTGGACTCTGTGGGCTTCGAATCGGATGCTGCTCCATCGGTAGTCTTGTTCTGGAAGAGGCCTCGGCCACCACCTCTACCACCCCGGCCACCTCGTTCACTCCGATCACCCCGATCACTTCGGTCGCCTCTATCACCTCGATCGCCACGATCGTCTCCACGACCACGTCCCCGTGCGCGGAATCCCCCTCGGCCTCGTCCACCTTCACTGTCGCTCGCCGCACCGGACTGATAGCCTCCGCGAGGAGGGGCATTGGCGGAGCTTGCTGCACCACGGTTGCTGCTCTGCCACGTCCCTGCTCCGCCTTGGCTCTGGCTGTCACGCTGATGGAAGCCGGGGGCGCGGTCGCCCTTATCCTCGAACCACGTGAATCTCGGAGACTTGCCTGCTGAGTTCTTGTGATTGTGAGCCGCAGCCTGCACTCGGTTCAAAGCGGCTTCGGCGATTTCGTGTGTCTCAAATTGCACCTTCCAGTTGGGAAATTTGCCCATTCTACTAATGGCCTTGATTCTCTCCTTGTCCTCGTCCGCAAAACAGTCTTTGACATGCTGCTCGCTGTCTGCCTGGCTCACATAAAGAGCAGTAGAGGGTTTCCGGTCCGAGGTAGGTGTTGGAGCCTTTGCTTTGGCGGCTTCATTGTCGCTAACCTTGTCTCCGCCGGCGCCGTTAGTTGCTGTGAGGGCGGAAGTGGTGGGGACCGCCGTCGACGACGGTTGAGGCGTCAGTGGTTTACCCTGAGTCACGGGCGGTGCTGGTGATCCTGTTGTGGGGGGTGTTCCAGCTTTAAAGGCAGGCATGGGTGCAGGCTGAATACCTTGACCAGGTTTGGCTTGTGGCTGGGATTGCTGTTGCTGCGGAGGCTTCTGCTGTTGTGGGAATGGCTGTGCCGGCGCAGAGAAGGCAGGAGTGCGGGTCTGAGATGGACCCGTAGGAGCCGTGGTCGGAGGCAAAGAACCGGTGTTCACAGGTGCCGGACCGCTTGAGGGTGGTTGAGAACCGAGTGGAGCTGCATTTGGTTTCCCACGGTGAGCAAAGTTGAAGCCTTGGGCCCGCATCTCAGTGCCGATACGACCGCCGTCGATCTCCAGGACAAGGTATCCGAACGCCGCGTCTGCCAGATTGAAGTTCCACATGTTCTTGAACGCGCTTTCGTCCACCTGGCCTGCCCCTGGGCCGCCGCCGACCGGGCCTCCGAAAGGGTTGCCTCCGTTGGCAGTGCTGGGCATCTTCTCGACAATTTCGAGCGCACTGTGAAGGAGAGCCTTGTGATTGGTATTGCTTTCGATTGCCTGCTCCACGTCCATCTTGACCGTTTCCCAGACATCCTGGAAGGATGCCTTGGAGGCAGCTAATTTTCCGCGGTAGTGGTCGAGCGACGGGTTGACGGAGAATTCGTTGTAAGAGCTGCCATATCGGAAGTGGAGACCGGCTGAGATCGAGAAATCGGCCTTCAGGGTGACGGACAGCTGATTGAGGATCCCGTCTCTCGCTGGTGACGCGTGAGTCAGGAAGATACGGGTCTCTGACGGATCGTAGACGCGGTTTGCTGTGTCGATCAGGGCACCGATCTGCAGCAGCGTCGTCCACATTGTGCCCTGGCCGCCCGCAATGTACGTCTTGCCCTCGCCATTGTCGAACAGCTTGTGGATGACGACGGCGCCACCCAATCCGAGGAGGCGCAGCTTCACTCCGCCAATGTCAAGTAACCTCGAGTTCACTTCGTCGATAATGTGTAAATTGTCCACCTTGTACTCTCCAGACCGGAAACGCTCCAGCACCCTCACGTCTTCACAAGCGCCCCACACGGTGTAGACGGGCACATCTAGAGTAATCTGCTTGTTGAGGAGAAGCGGCAATTCTGAAAGCGGTAATTGATCAGGTGCAAACATCTGCTTGATGGGTCGCTGAGGCTGGGGTGAGGCGATCTGGCGCTTGACATGTTCGCTCAATAGTGGAGAGTACTGAGCGACATGTTTTAGAGTCCTACAGTTACTGTCAGCCGATGTGTCCGACTCGTGTCCCAATTGCTCCTTACTTCTCAGCTATTCTCTCCAACGAAGTGTTGTCGTAAAAACCGAAGTCACCAGTATGCAAAATGTAGTCGGCCTTCGCTTGTCTTGCGAGATCGTTCAGAGACTTGAGATTGCCTAAGGTTCTCCGTCAGATCGACTCAACTTCTCCCGCAAAGGGGCGTGACTGACCTCTAACGTCTGCGATGCACAAGACTCGGATGGGACCTGACTGGATAACGCGGCCATTGTTCGGAAGAAGAGCTTGCGCTCCAGGAGTCGGACCCGAGGCCGTTCCGTTGGGTAGATATCCTTGGTTCGGGAACTGTGGTCGAGGCTGGCCAGATTTCTGTATCAGCGGGAGTGCTACCGGGGTTTTCGATCTCAAAACCATGATCGGCGACGGTGGGAGTTCTCAGACGGGGAGTGGCAGAATGAGACAGAGTGGAAGATCAACTCACAGAAGCCATAGGAGCAGAATTCACTGAGGGTACCGCGACAATGGCGTTCGAGACAAGGCCGGAGACAGGTGCGGCAAGAGATGCGGATCAAACACGGCCGGAGTCAGTATTAGGAGGGTGCCTATTTTCAAGACGGCGGTCGCGTCTGCTTGTGAGAAGAGTAAATCGAGATCGCCTAAAACAACGGAAGAAAGGTGATGCGATGTGACTGAACTGCACTGCGAAAGTATGAGAGATGAATGAATCCAGGTGTCCAGGTCGCCTTGTACAAATTCACAGGCTAGACCCCAGGAAAAGCAAAATACAGCGGCGAGAAGCTGCTATCCCAGAACGTGCTAGCGCCTTGGCTCTCCGCCCCTTTCCATGCGGTCTCTTGAGTGATTTAACACACAATCACGACGGCCTGTTTATTCTTTCCAGTGTGGTATAATTCGAGCTAGAAGGATATAGTTCCTTGCTGCTATCTCGCAGAGCTGCAGGTTGTTGGTAAACGAGGGTCACCGCCGATGGGCAAAGTCGGCTTATGAACGTTGGTACATCGAACTAAACAATAGCCTCCTGAGCAAATCATAACTCCATATCATATCATCTTCCCTTGGTGGCTTATAGCATACAATGGCCTTTGGGTATATGCCGCCCCGTCCATTTTGGAGGCTATGATGCCTTCCACATGTCCACCCGTAATGAATGACTGACTCCCACAGGCGATAGCTCCCTGTGCCGCTATGGCCTGTCCGATGGGATCCTGCTTTTCTTCAAGCCGTGCCCAAAATCTTGTCCACATCCTTCTTGTCAACCACTGCACCGCCCTCCGAGCATTTCGCTTTCGCTCGGAGCTCACTACACAGGTTATCAATATCAATCTCGCCATTGCGGAATTTCTCCATCGACTGGAGTCGGTCCCTGAACACGCAGTTAGCTGATTGCTGGGGACAGTGAATGCGATTGTCACAAACCAGATTTTGTTGCAAGACATTGGTTTCTCATTATCAGGAACAACTTCCTCATTCCCATTCTTCGCTTCCTCGACTTGCTTTAGCAGGTCAATCTTCGGTGCCGACTCCGTGGCAACGTCATTATAGTTGTGTAGGGGGCTGCCCAAGTCGGGCAGGGGGTAAGCGTCGTTGAAGAATGCTCCAAAGTCTTGCGACAGGATGTTTTCTTGCGTTTCGCGGTAATCGCCGAACAGGATCGGGTCGAATGAGTTGTTGTTTTGTTGCGCAAGCCAGTTAATGCCATTGGCGTCGAAGCCCGGCTCGTTGGTGTAGCCTAACGACTCATCGTTAGACACCTTTTTCAAGATGGGAGGTATCGGATCATCCACGCAGCCACAGGCCTGTTGGAGTTGTTCGCAAAGGAAATCCTTACCTCCGAACGGAGCTTGATTTTCTTCGCTTATGGGGTTGAGATTGTACTCGGTCAACTTGTTCGCTGGCGAGTTCATGCTGGGCTCTGGAGAAGTGCCAATGGATGATATAGGGTTGTGAGAATCCGTAGAAGAGCCCGGCGAGTCCGAGTTGGAGATGCTCGAGTTCGAATACAGCCCAGTGACATTGCCTAGGACGCCGTTGTCGAGGCTGCCACGAGTACTTCCAGGAGCACCATTGTACCGAGGGGCGGCGGACTGAGGGAAGTAACCTCCCAAACTGGCGTGGCGGCTGGCTTCAAGGATTGAAGGGCTGAACAACCCAGACAAGCTGTCCACGCTTCCCTGATGCTGCTGGACTTGACTTTGTGGCTGAGGCGAAGTGGTGAATGTCTTCGCGACCGGCGATTGACTCATCGAGCCGAATCTTGGGGTTTGGCTCTGCGAACTAGATGCAGAACGACGGCTGTTGCCGTTCTGTGTCGACGGAGACGCGCTTGCAGCCGGCCCAGATGAAGATCTGTTAGGGTTTCCCTGCGGCTTCTTCAAGGTCGAGTTGCCGAACAACTTGGTGCCTGGCATGGGTGGCAGGTCTCCAAACTTGGGGAATTCGAACTGGAAGTCGTTGTGGTTATTGGTAGTGGAGTTCCGGCCTTGATTGAAGGAGATGGGCTGCGACCTGTTCAGGCCATTGCTACTGACCCACGAAAGACGCTTTCTATATTCTTTCAATTCGACCTGCAGGCGCTCCACTTGGGCACGGAGCAGACCATTTTCATGATTGGCAGACTCTGAAGCCTTCTCCAGGTCTTCCACCTTGGTTTCAAGATCTTTTAGATGCTTCTCTTTGCGCTCGCGGAAGGCGCGTTGAGCGGCACGGTTTTGTGCCTTGCGCTTCGAGGTAGGTTCGGAAGTCAACGGCTTCCTTCCAGGCTTTTTGGCTGTTTTATCTTCGCCTTCCCGTCTTTTACCGCCTCCTTCGTCATCTTCATCTTTCCCATCGACACTTTTTCGCTTATCGTGCAGGTCGTGAGAGAGTGATTCATCGGGGATATCGCCAATCATGCGGTGGTTAGCGTCAAAGTCGAAACTGTCGTCGCCAAAGTCAGCGTCAGGATCGAAATCCAGAAACGGGCTGTCGTCGCTGAAGTCGAGATTGCCTGAATCAGGAGCACTCATGCTGGGGGTAAAGTTGACGTTTTGAGGAGCAGTCTTTTGGATTCCCGACTGTTTTGGAGATTGGTTCGAATTTAACGCCGCCATAAGAAGGTCTTGTTGTTCGGGTGACAGATACAGACCCTCTGTTGCTTGTCGCGACATTGACCAGACGGGAGCTGTTCGTTATTTCCGTCCACGGAGAGATAGGATCGCCGATAGAAAGGCGAGGCGACCACGCGGAGAGCACCGGCAATACGAATGGGAAGACGTCAAGCCCTGTCCCCTCTCCACTGTGTCGGCTGGCAGTACCGACTGGCAGACGACGATGTTCGCTTGGTTGAATTCAATTGAGGTGGAGGAGTAAGGAAGGGAGTAACGGAGAGGAAGAGGGCGGGCAATGGGCACGGAACGGAATAATAGGCGGGGCGACCAGCAATATCCAGAGCCAGCTGCTCACGCCCCAGGGTCAGAATACCTCAATGGTGGCAGTGCCAGTGACGATATCAGAAGGCTGAAGAACTCTGTAATGATGGACAAATGGGATGTGGGAGTCTAGGGAAAGGGGAAGGATCCAGCAGGAGAGAAGAAAGGAAGGAATTGTGAGTCCGATGAGATCAATCTGTATGGAGTAGGTAGAGAGTGGAGGGGGGTGCTTTGCGGGTGCAGACGCCGTAGCGTTTGTTCTAGAGACATGCAGGTGAGCAGCCGCCAAGGACACAACTGATCCCTACGCCGCAGTCTTCAGCCCTGATCAGCACCAGAGCAAGTCGCTCCTTTACCCGGAGAGACCACCATGGCACCTAAAAGTGCCCGCTAAGTTTCCGCCTGCCACGGTCTACCGAGAAGCATACCGAGTACGGTACCTAAGGTTTTCCGTTGGTGCTCGTGGAGCCTACGAGGTAGTATCGACTGCCCTGGCTGGCTACCGCGATATTTCCATCCCGCTTCTGTCCCCTCTCTCCTTGCGGATATCTCTTACACTCCTGGATTGCCTGCTGTCATGGTCAAGGGACAAAGAACTGAGCGGCACCGAGGTCATGCTGCTGCTTCAGAGACCCTGGTAGGGTCTTCTTAAGGATTGGAGGAAAACCACGCGTGGGTCAGGGTAAGATGTGGCGAAAGACCCGGGCTGTATTCTGCGCGGGAGGAAGTGAGCAACCCAGACATGGTTGGGTGTCTCGGTGGCAGTGGCTCGACAAGTTGATTTCTAAGCGGCATCGAGCCGCGACTGGTCCATGACAATCGACGGCGGTCCATACCAAGACAGATCGAGCATGCTAAACTTGAAACAGGCACCCTTCCCGTTCACGGACTTCCTTATACGCAGCCTCAGCCCCGTCATCTCCGTCCTCCAATTGTTACTGGGGACTGTGAAGCAAATTTGAATACGAGTTGGTGCGTTCGATCAAACAGGTAGGGCTTGCAACGGACCGACGTCATCGTCTCGCAAAGCACGAAGAAGCCACACCGTCCTCGTACGAGTATCACCCGTGCCAGCTCCAAGAACTTCGAGTCTACAGGTCGGCCTGCAGGATAGAATATCCGACGCAGGATCTTGCACGAGTAGAGTGTAATTTCTCGATTGGTGAATCGCTTTCGGCTAGGAGACCGAAGTCATCATCCGACTCAAAGCAAGGCCCATGTTTAATTAAGCACACCTTGAAAGTCGAGGGACCTGGGAAGCGAGTCTCGCGGCCTTTGGCGAGAGGCTTGGCGGGCGACAGCGGCGAACCGAGGATCAAGCGCGCCCGCCGCAGTTCACTGACACGACTACAGACGTCCCTCTTGTCGGAAACCGTATTACTTGCTGTACGAGTACCTATTCATCCGCTTCGACAGCAAAGGTCATATGCTCTGCTGCCTTCTAGAAGATACTCTATTGTGTTCTGTCTACACTCTCTCCCCCTCTTAGCTCATCATGAGTACCGCCGACATCGCGGCTCTAGAAGGCGAAGTTAAGGAATACAGACTGCAACTGGAGACGGTTCAGCTGAGTCTACAGAATGATCCCGACAACAGCGAACTGCAGAGCCTAAAACAAGAACTTGAAGAAGTCATTTCCCTCACCGAGTCTGCCATTGCAGAACTAAAGCCTCAGTCAGTGCCAGCGCCGCCTACGAAATCCTCTTCGCCGCCCGTGAAAGAAAAGTGGTCCAAAGAGAACCACCCCGCCTACCAGGCAGGATATCGAAAGCAAGAGGCCGAAACGGAAGAATCCAGCGCGCCTGCCCAGTTCTCGGTCAACGACACGGTCTCAGCTCGATGGAAATCTGGCGATGGCGGCTTTTACACGGCGAGAATCACGTCCATCACAGGCTCCTCGAGCGATCCGGTCTACATCGTCACATTCAAGAACTATGGAAACACTGAAACACTAAAGGCCAAAGACATCAAGCCGCTCTCCAACGA